AGCAGGGAGCCCGATGTGGGACTCGATCCCGGGACTCCAGGATCATGACCTGAGCCGAAGGCAGTCACTTAACCAACTGAGCCACCCAGGCACCCAAAAGTAAAGTAATATTATGTTGTCCTTCTTACAAAGGTGTAATCTGAAGAGACCTCTACTCCTGTGATAGTGTCATTGTTATGGAGCTGGTATTTTTATGTACAAATATTGCCAACTGCTCAGAGGGATTTTCCTGACTGTATTAGTGGAGAGATTGATGAGAAAGTAGAGTAACAAGCTAATTCCATACTTCCCCCAACTCCTTTATCTTTAGCTCATTCTCTGTCGATTTTGATTTTTTGTAGGAGCTATTTTATTTTTAATTTAATTTTATTTAAATTCAATTAACTAACATATAGTGTATTATTAGTTTCAGAGGTAGAGTTCAGTGATTCATCAGTTGCATATAACACCAGTGCTCATTACATCACGTGCCCTCCTTAATGCCCGTCACCCAGTTACCCCACCCTCCACCCCCCTTGTAGGAGCTATTTTAGAATATATACATTTTTTTATTAAATAGCATCACACATCTATTTATTGAAGCTGGATGTAGATTGTGTTTTAAGGAAACAGTGTAGTTTGTCTTCATCTCTGGTTCCTTCCTGCACCGTTGTGAATTCCCACACACAGTGACCTGTTAGTTTCGATGCCGTCATATTCATGTCCTGCTTGTAGTAGGGGATTTGCTTCATTGTTGTTGCCTTTCCCTTCATGAACGTTATGGAGGTAGAGATGATCTTTTGCTAAACAGAGCACTTCATATCTTTAAATGAATGCTATTATTGTTTGACTTCTCCTCAAGATACCTATAGCAGAGCTTTCTGATTTAAAAAAAGAAAAGGGAAAGGCAAAAAGGAAAAAACAAAACAAAACAAAACCCTGGTGTTTCTGTACTTAAGAACAGCATTAAATACCAAAAATGAGATTGTGATCACTACTAAAATTTCCCTTCATAATTTTTTTTTTTTTAAGGATTTTTACTTATTTATTGAGAGAGAGAGAGAATGATAGAGAGAGAGCATGACAGGGAGGAGGGTCAGAGGGAGAAGCAGGCTCCCTGCTGAGCAGGGAGCCGGATGCGGGACTCGATCCCGGAACTCCAGGATCATGACCTGAGCCGAAGGCAGTCGCTCAAACAACTGAGCCACCCAGGCGCCCCTAAAATTTCCCTTAAAATCAGGGACGTGTTCTTCTTCTATCATTTGTTTAGTTATTGTCCATCCATTTCTCTTTTTCTTTCAGGGATTTCTACTATTTTTCACCTTCACATTTCCTGGATCTGCCCTTCAGCTCTCATCTCTTCCATAATGATTTCCGTTTCCTCATTTTTCTCTTTTTAGATATTTCATCCACTTCGTCTTCTACATTACTGTTTTAGTCCTCAGTAGTAACCTGGATTCCCTCTTTCAGTTTATCTGTTAATTTTATTTTAATTTTTACTTTTTTTGTCTATTAATTTTAGAATTTTGAGTATTTCTGCAGTCCACAAAACTTTACATTTTGTAATTGGTCTACTTAATTTAAGTGTTCCTGTTTGGTGATTATGGTTATGGTTTCGTTGTGGTTGTGGCCCATGTTGTAAGTATACTTCCCACCAAAGAAGCCATCTGTTGGAGGCAGTGCATAAGTCTTCCATGGTGCTGGATCCCCTTGGGTACTTCACTCCTTATCTCCTAGGCAGCCGGGTTAAGCTGACAGCGGTTATGGAGCAGTGAAGAGAAGGGCCACTGTCTCTATACCTGTGGGTATAGAACTCCAAGAACTGCCAGGCAAGCAGAGCCCTCTGCCAGCCTCAAGTACCAGAGTCCACCCTGCCCACGGTGCAGTCACTTTGTCGGCAGGATCGAGCAGACGCTCCCAGGACCGTGCACAAGTGGACTGGGGCCACATGGGCCAGCCAGGGCAGACCACTCTCCGGGAGCCCCCGTGCCTGGTCTCAGAACTCTCTGCTGCTGGTCCCCCTGCCTTCTGGACAGAGATCCCAAAAGAGCCTGCACCTGCCAATGTGCCCGGCAGGTTCTGCCTGTTTGCCCAGAGCGGCCACTTCCCTGCCCCAGAGAGTTAGTGGCGAGGGAGCTGGGAAGGGGGAAGTGACAGGAACACGTGTTCAGGTCACCAACTTCTCCAGGGACAGTTTTGCTTCCCTAGAACCAGTTTTACCTCTGGAGATGTCTTAGACAAGTGGCATAGGGAGCTGTAAGAAGCCATAATGTGAATTCTGAGTTTATGCCAGCAAAAGCTTTTTCTCTAATTCATTCTACAAAGAGGCCAAGCTTTTCTCAAATTCAAGGGGAGGGGAGATTAGTGTAATAATAATAATAATAAGCTTTATATAGAATAAATTTATATTCTGTGTAAAGAAAGCCAGCTGTGATTTAGGGAAGAATGACCATCATTTCTGTAGGGGTGGAAGAAGAGACATTTAAATTTAATTAAAAACAAGCAATTTCTATCAAATATATATATTTAGGGTCAATTGCAAATTGAACTCCATTTTTTTGTAATCCACATAATCTTCATATGTACTGTGGATTCTGTGTCTTTAAAAGGGGATTATGTTTTGGACTTCACAAAGCATGCTTATAAATGTTCCTCAAAACATTTTACCTCTCCCTGTCCTCTTGTACTCACTTTTCCTGAAAATTAAAGGAGTTGATTCATGTTTACTTCATGAGAACACAGCAACATAATTAATAAAAAATGGGAAAATGTCGTATTTTGAATAATAAAATAACAAATTTCCTGTTTTTCTATTAAAAGGTCAACATGATTGTGTGACTATCATCAACAATTTCTTTCCTCGTGAGAGACTGGATTATTACACTAAACCCCAGGGGCTGGATAAAGAGCCAAAACTGCCTCCAAAGTTGGCAGGCCCACTGCACAAAATTATTACCACAACCAATCTTCATCCTGTCAAGGTAGTGCCGTGTTTATGGTCTTTGCTTTTTATTTAAATATTCCTTCAGAGTTTAAACTGCTCTTAATTATATAAGATCGTAGTTGTCTTGGTTGGGTTTCGTGGATACAGCGCTTGAGATATGGGGCTCTGTTGTTCAGTTGGCACAGTGAAGGGACTGCTCTCGGTTTAAGCCTGAGAGAGAGTGAGAGACACAGGCTAGGCCAGGAGGAAAAGCTAGGCAAAGAGGTGGGTTCAGCTGAAGCCCGCCTTCCACCTCACCTCACCGGGAGCTCTGGACTGTCCATGACTCCAGAGAAGCAAGGGAGCCAGGCTTTTGGATCACTCAGTTGCCATTGGCTGAAGCCTGTCCCCGGAAGAAAAGGACAGGCTCCCATGTAGTGCCCAGGAAGGTGGCTTCTGATAGATGAAGGCAGTTCCCTAGAGCAGGAGGCAGCTCTGAGCCCCTAGCAGCCAACACTCCCAGAAGCTGGGACCGGGTACCTAGGCTGGTAAGGGGATTTGGGTGGGGAATCAGCAGCATCTACTACAATATTTATCCTTCCAGGAAATGTTCTGAAATGTGATCATGAGCATATACTTTAATGCAAGTAGCTATTTGATGCCTTTAAGTATTATAGTTCTTGCAGTATTAGTCAAATCACACAGATTTTCAAACTTTTTAGACCAACCCAGAAGTTCATTTGGCTTAACGGAGAAACTTCAGGAGCCATTCTGAACTATGTTCATTGCTCTTTTCTTCATAGTTTACATATAGCCTTTTTAGTTTGTTTACAAATTTTTTTTATGTTTATTTTTTATAAATCAATCCAAATGAGTATAATTTCCTCAGTGAATCATTACAGAAAACTCTATGTATGCTACAGTGATGCTGTTCTTTTTCAAATTTCACTCATCTATATCTTCATTCATAATGTGTAGATTTGACAGTAATTCAGGACTGTTTGGTGAGCAAAGTGGTGAACTGGATCAAACACTGAGATTTTCCCTTAATACAAAATGTTATTATAAATGCAGTAAAATTATATTTCCCTTAAAGTCTATTACAGTGGAACATACCAAACACCATTAAAATAAGTGGACAGTTCTCATAAAGTAACTCTTTGGAGATTGGCACTCATTTGAAGATACAAGTTTCAAATTATATGTATTGTTCTTACTTTATTGATGCTTCCCTTAGCATACAGACTCTGAAGCTCAAGAAACAAACAAACCAACAAAACATACCTGTCCTGTGGCTTTCCACCCAAATTACTTTTCTGGGCCAGCAAGAGAGATGACAAACTCTCAGAGCCTTTTCCAGAAGATAGACTAATGGAGCCTGTTCTGTTTTTATTTTTCAAAACTCAAATGTCCTTCACATTCTGAAAGAACCCCAGGAGGTAACACTTGTGATCCTAAGAGGGCAAAAAAGAAATTCAGCCATGAACCATATGTTTGTATTTATGGTGGTGATTATATGGAACTTAGAATTTAACCTTTAAAAAGTACTCAGCCTCTTCTGTATCAGTGGTGTTTTGTTTTTGTTTTCCTTTCCCGGCATACACAGGCGAAGACAGAACTTCCATATAGGAGCTATCCCTGTCCATGGCACTCTTTCTCTTAGTGGTGGGGCAGGCTGGGGTGGGAAGACAGGATTTTTCCTAGGGATATAGTATTTCTCAGTGTAGAGAATGTGTGTGGTTTTATAGGTCCTTGTTCTCCCTCTGTCCTGAGCATTATAGGATCTTCGGGTTTAGACAGATTTGAAGAAATTCCCTGTGTTTTTCTGATTTACTGTCTTTTATATCTATGTTTCTACCCTTTGAGTTTGCACTAATCTCAATAATTGTGATAATTGAGTCTGTGGAGTAATTTTTGGTGTTCACAAGGAACCTAGACTCCCAGGGTTAAATGTTCTAAGAATTAGTGTATCTCTAATTATCTTTAAGAGCACCTGTTCGAGTAAATTAGAATAAGGGTATATTTATACAGGCAATAAATGGTAAAGTTATAGACACCGAAATAACCTAAATTCTATTTTTTTAGTACACTTGGTCTTATAAGAGATATTATTCGATGATTATAGTACCTTTCTTCAGACCAGACCTTGTTTTTTTTTTTTAAAGATTTATTTATTTATTTTTTTTTTTTTTAAGATTTTATTTATTTATTTGAGAGAGAGAATGAGATAGAGAGCATGAGAGGGAGGAGGGTCAGAGAGAGAGGCAAACTCCCTGCTGAGCAGGGAGCCTGACGTGGGACTCGATCCCGGGACTCCAGGATCATGACCCGAGCCGAAGGCAGTCGCTTAACCAACTGAGCCACCCAGGTGCCCCAAAGATTTATTTATTTTTGAGAGAGCGAGAATGAGAGAGAGAGAGAGTACATGAGAGGGGGGAGGGGCAGAGGGAGAAGCAGACTCCCCGCTGAGCAGGGAGCCCGATGCCGGACTCGATCCTGGGACTCCAGGATCATGACCTGAGCCGAAGGCAGTCGCTTAACCAACTGAGCCACCCAGGCGCCCCAGACCTTGTTTTTTGTAGCTATAAATGATCTATTCACTTGAAAACCTTTCCCCCTCCCCCCACACTTCAGATAAAAGTTGTGCAGTGCTTCTGTGGTGCCTTATTTTCGTTGCTTTACCGCTTTCCAAGCCAGCGACAGTCTTCCCGGGGTGTATTATAAAAAAGTAACAGCCATTCTATATAGTCAAAGACCTTTTAAAAGCAGCACGGAAATCCTCCTTGATACACAACGCACCTTTTCACTACAGTGCACTTAACACATCTGCATTTGTGGCAAGGGTAAGCAGCTCCTGTAGCATCACGGATATTTGTTTTCAGCAGGGACTCGGGCAGTTGTGCTGATGCCCAGAATACAGAGGTTTTAAAGGAGAAAAACCAAAATCACAGGAAAAATGACGACAGAAGTGAGCAGGGTCTCTAAGTGGTCAGGAAACAGATGTACACAAGTGATTCTGTCTTTGATTATTAACTTTCTTAAGCCCAGAATTGTTGGTTTGGTAATTTTTTCTTAGAGGGTATTTGAAAAATAAAAAGAATTCAAAATGCCACTATATAAACATATTCTAACATTCTTCAGGAGATGAGCCGTATCAGGCTTTTCTACTTAATGGAATGTATTTATTCCTCTTCGATAATAATGAGATTTTCTTTATAATGGATGACTTATAATGCTGCAGAAATTAGAGGAAGGAAGCTAGTTCAGGTATTATTCTTTTGTGCGTATCTATGAGATGTTTCAGTAAGCTCGTAGTAGAGCTGTGGTTATGTATCATTTTTCTTTGGGTATAGTGGTGTATACTCTGAAGTAAGTAAAGCCTGATGTCTTAACAAAGAAAAAAAAACCATTAGTCTGGGTTCTGAGATTTTTTTGAAGTTTTTACTTGTAAGTTTAAGATCCTGTGCTTTGATTATAAATGCTTTACACAAAAATATTGAACAGTTTCAAATGATTACAGTTGACAGTAGAAATATAAACATGTAATTAATGAGACTTCTCTGCCAAAAGTTAATTTTTGATGCATGTTATTGTAGGGAAAGTCGCCGGCAAATTTACCAACAAAGCTTCTCATTATACATTTTACAAGAACACTTAATCTTTGTTAAATTTCCAGGTAGGAGGCTAGGCATGGGATTCATAGAAGCCAACAAATGATCTTCCTTCCTCTTGGAAGAAAAGGATCTAATTCATGAAATCTGCTGTCTGTGATTCCCTGACATTTGCATTCCCCAGAATAGGTGTTTCACCCTAACACATAGGTTAGCAAACACTGACTTTCTGCCCCGTGCATACGGTTGTGCCCTGTTACACATGTGTTTACATTACTGTTATGTCACCATGGATGTTTACAGTTGCCCTGTTCAGACCTACTTCAGGTAGGTAATTTTACCTGATAACAAAGCCAATAAAAAAAAGTACTCCTCATTACACTGATTTTGTGCTTAAATCTGTGCCTATATGAGAAGTGTGGGACTCATAATGCATCAGATTTGATAACTGTCTAATATTCCTCCTTGAAGCCTTTTAATTTGATTTCCTCTTTGACCTTTTCTCATTACCATAGATGATTAGAAGCATATCATAAAAATTTCCACAGAGAAATGTAGTTAATTGGAAAGTAAGACACCTTTTATTTTTAGACATCTGTCTGTAAAAATCTCATTTTCTTATAATTAGTAAGAATTAATGAGAATCACAGTACTCCTAGCCATGAAATTCTAGTAATGTTAGGCAGAAGTAGTGATTGCTTGGTGATTTGATTCTGTATATAAAGGATATGTAAATATGTCATGTTTATCTTTAGTAAAAATGCTTTTTTTTTTTTTTTTTACGATTTTATTTATTTATTTGACAGAGAGAGAGAGTACAAGCAGGGGGAGCAGCAGTGGGAGAGGGAGAAGCAGGCTCCCCACTGAGCAGGGAGCCCAATGTGGGGCTCAATCCCAGGACCCTGGGATCATGACCTGAGCCGAAGGCAGATGCTTAACCTACTGAGCCACCCAGGCGCCCCAGTAAAAGTGCTTTTAACAGAGAATCTAAAACCATGACTCTGAGTAGCATACTAACACCCTGGTTTCGCTTGATGGCAGATCACGGGATAACTTAGATATACAGAGTTCAAGAGATTTCACGATGCCGAGGTCCTTCTGTATTAGTTTTATAACTTTGATCACTGGCAATTTGCATTCTAATTTGAATTAACATAGTAAACATATGACCCTGAGAAAGAATTTATTTGGTAATCTGTTGACATCAACCAAAATTAAGTATCTAATATGTACATGGAAAAGTCTCTCATGGAATTTCTAAGCTCACTGGAATTTCTTCTAGATCGTGATGCTTGTAAATGAGAATCCTCTGCTGGCAGAAGAAGCAGCTCTGAATAAATGCTACAAGGTGATGGATTTGATCTGTGAGAAATGTATGAAGCAAAGAGACATGAATGAAGTATTGGCTATGAAAATGCATTACATCAGCTGTATCTTTCAGAAATGCATTAACTTCTTAAAAGATGGAGAGAATAAACTGGACACTCTGGTCAAAAGGTACCATTTCTACCATGTCATGTGCAAAATATACTCAAATAGATAATGTTTTATTATATGAAGCCTCCTCGTAGATTAAAAAATGAAGCATTTTAGCAGCACTTGTTATTGTTGGGCTCACATTTAGTCTGCAAGAAACAAGAGCAGTGTTATGTTTAGGTTGAGTGATTATTCAGTTCTCTACTTTTTACAATGATGCTTTTGTCATCCCTGGTTTACAGGTGAGGGATCTGAAGTTTGGAGAAGTTTAGGTAGCATGTGTAAGATGTAGAAAGTAGCCCAAGTCCAGCTTTGAGGACTGGTATGCCATGCCTTCCTTAGGTTGTTGCTCTGAGTTCATCATGGCGCTCCGCCTATCTCCATTACTGAACCTGGGAAAGCTGCATGTTATCCTTGTCCTCTGACCATCAGGGGTCAAATTCCCACATAGTTTTACTGAGAAGAGTGAACTGTGTCAGAAAGGTGTAACTTAATGAGAGTTTTCACTCTTTGTACAAATAACTGGCATGGTAATAAGTAACTGGCTGCCCTGATAATGGCAGTTAGTGTGTTTTATGGCAGGGGTCCCTTTTATAAATACGTCCCAGGGCCCGTAAACTCGATAAGGGCTAGCCTAACCTGCAGGTAGAACAGCAGTTTGAATTAAGTCTATCATCCTGATTGGGAGAGACAGTGAAAATCTCAGGTAGCACAGAAACTACTAAAAGTTCATGGGTTCAGCTGGGAGGAAATGCTTAGATATTCAACTCCAGTTACTTTTTTAAAAATATCTTTCAGCTTGTTAAAAGGCCGAGCTTCAGATGGCTTTCCAGTATATCAAGAAAAGATCATAAGAGAAAGTATCAGAAAATTTCCTTACTGTGAAGCCACACTCCTCCAGCAGCTGGTGCGAAGCATTGCTCCTGTTGAAATTGTAAGGCCCCTCATAACTAAGTTAACTCTACCAGTAAGACCTAATTACCGTATTTTGTACAATTAGAGGCAAGTTCTCTTTAGCATTAATTTATTAATAATTTATTTAGTAGTAGAGAAATAATTATTTGTTATTTTAGACAGTCTTCAGGAACAGACATGGTGGTAGGTGTACCTGTTAACCCTGTTTTTGTTCATCCATTTCCCCTCTCTTGATCCTCTTCTTTCATTTTTATATAGCTCGTGGTTTAATAAATAGTATTCCCCTATGTCGGAATGTAGATGGTTACATGGAAAATTACATTTTAAAGACCTCTGTGAAACCTGTAAAGGTGGGTAATACAGATACACACATGTACACTTGCAGCTCGTGAAAAACCAGTACAAAGTCCCGCACTAGATGGAAGTAGGAATTGATTGTCTAGGTTGATGGTTTCTGGTCAGTGGGGATGTGAAGGGATGAGTCGTGGGGAGGCTCAATGTATGTCCCCGATAAAGAGTCTCAAAGTATTTCCCAGCTTCTCATATTCCACTTAATGCCTCTGATTATAAATGTTCCATACTTAAAATTCCATTTATACTTCCCAGCTATAGGAAGCAAATTCCAACTTTATTCTCTGTTCTTTAAATTATTTATTGCCCTTTTATCATATATTTACTTAAGTAGTATTTCATAAGATACTCCCTGACTTCCCTGTTTTGAACGCATTTCTGTTCACCATATCGACACCAGTCATGCTTTTCTACATTTCAGTCAAATCCTTTATCGGCCTTTGTCTATTGGGTAAGAAGCTGATCCTGACACTAGTCCTGTCCATGGCTTCCTCCCCGCCCTCCGGCAATGTTGGTTCTTCTCTGCCTTCTCTGGGCTGTCCCGTCCCTCTCGGGGTGGGAAATGAGGAGAGGTGGGATCCTGGTGCTCCTTCATACATTAACACTTCATCTATTCAGAGCTACGCAGTAAGAAAGACCTGAAGAGACAAGATGATTTCATGAAGTTCATGCATTGATTTCTCCCTGAGAGTTCTCCATGATTTCATGTAGAGATTTTTTACCCTTTCTTTTTAATATACTTGGCTCTTTGGTATTTGAGCTTTTGGAAGATTAAAGTTAGCAAATTATGAGAGTGGTCTATCAATTATGAATGTGTTTTGGTACACATATCAAACTCCAACTAACCGTGAGTTAAATCAATAGGGTTTATTCATTTCCGTATACTCAGAAGCTCAGAGGTAGGCAGACCAGATCTGTCACAGTGGCTCAAAAATGGATTCCCATTTTTTCCACCCAATATTCTTTAGCCATATAGATTATCATACACATGCTTATGACGTCAGGGCTGCAATGCCGAGCTCACATTTTTATCCCAGGCAGGCAAGTAAAGGAAGGGGGTTTATAGCTGGCCAATACGAGCTGTCCCAGAAACCCACGGCCTGAGCGGTGTGACCACTCTTAGCTTCATAGGTTGTCTGGGGAAATGAGCAGTTTCGGCTGGTCTAGACCCTGCTACTCTGAATGAAGTTGCGCTTCTCTCAGTGCAGAAGTTGGGGGAATGGACATCAGAGAAACAATGAGGACTGCCGGCTGTGGGCTGTTTCCAACATTAACAAGTGGTAGCTGACATTCCACCCTCAAAGGGGAAAACAGCAAAACTGAAAATAGCCCAGAGTACTTACAAAAAAGTCAAAGCAGACCAATGTGGGGTTGAACAATTCACTGTAGCCCTGCATCATAGAATAATTGTCATTCGAGATGATGCAGTATAATTGTTAGGGTTTATCCTAGTGATCCGAGTCATGGAGAAAAGGTTTAGCAATAGAGAGAAGAGAGGATATAATGCATCTTTGAAAACTTTTCTCTCTTTAAAAATTGTTCTTTAAGAGTTATATATTCTCTCTGGAAAACTTTATTTATCTGGAGTGCCTGTGGTTGTGAATGTCCCAGGAAGCTGCCTTTTACTTCCGGATGGGTTTTGTTACACTCACAAGTTCACAAGCCACTGGAGCAATACTCACCATTTCCTGTTGCAGGGTAATTCTCAGGGTTGGCTGCCATGAGGAGGATCATTCGTGGCACTTAATGATAGTGCTGATGCCTGGGCCCTCCTGCAGAGGTTCGGGTCCCCTCCGGCTTCTCCCTATCACAAAGCTCTGCAGGAAGTGTGAGGCATGGCTGCCTTTAAGAAGTGTTGCATCCGCATTGTAACAGAGTATACTCTTACAGATGTTTTGCTTTATCACTTGCCAGCGTATAATTTGACTTCTGGAAGACTAGCTAAATGTCTCTGATTTTACAGACTATGTTGAGTAAAGCATCCTGTTTGTCTTTAAGTTGACTATCTTTCCATGGGAGGAGCTCTGGTGCCTAAACAAATTCTTATTTAACAAAGTAGGTGACAATATTTTGTATGACAAGAAAGAGCTCTTGCCACCTGGCAATGACAAGAAAGATTCCATGTCATTCTTCAGCTGTACCGTCGATTCTTTTCTGAAGCCATTGTTGACGCTAACAGCCATGCTCTTAGATAAAGTCTGTGTCACCGCCAGCCTTCAGGACTTTGGCTCTTGTGTGCCTGCTTCTGGACAACATTGTTCATGGAGTGTCATCTCTGTAGTCTTTCCACAGTGATTTTAAAGTGTGTTTTCCTCTCCTTCATACCTACTCTAGGGTTCTGATCCCACTGCATTCTCTGTACTTACCCAAGCCATCACGGGTCAGGTGGGTTTTGTGGATGTGGAATTTTGCACTACCTGTGGAGAAAAGGGAGCAAGTAAAAGATGTTCTGTCTGCAAGATGGTAAGAATGAAGTTCTTTGAAGTTCATTGATCTGGTTTAGATTTCATATCCAACTTGATAATTGACTTTTAATATTCTCTAAGTATAATGGTTGACATTAGTTTTCTAATACATCCTAATATAAATTCTAATTCTGTGCATCTAATACTTAAAAGTAATTTTGAAAGAGCAGTATGGGATAAATGTAGTTCTGTGTAGTTCTGTGCCCTACCTTCTGTCAAACTTCCAGGCTGCCCCAGGTTCTGTGCAGACCACCTCCAAGAAAGAAAGAATCTGAGTGAATGAATGAGAGAAAGATTATCCATAAGGGATTGAGGCTGGTGCAGATATGAGAGCCTAGAACAGGACAGTTCATAAATATGCCATCTTAAATCTTCTGATGGTAACTTGAACTACAAACTCTTCATCATCTCTTCCTTCTAAAACTCCAACTCCCTTGTTACTGCCACCAATCTTTATGCTCTTCCGGCCCCACTTCTGCCAGCATGATCTTTGTAAAGGGCATATCTTCTCCTCACAGATATTACCCACAAGCATTCATCTGTACATTCACGTTACCCTATAAGTTATATTAATTAATTTACTTAATTATATTAATCTCCTATTTTCAAGGTTGGAATTCTTCAGCATATTAATAATACCCATCACATTTTGCTTTAACCTACTTCTCCAGCTTCATCTCCTTTAATTACTTACTTCTTTGAACCTCAATTTCTTTGTATGTGAAATGGGGTTAGCATTGTGAGAATTCATTGAGACCATCTACATGGGTTAACTGTTGCTCCACGTAAAACACTTAAAACGACAATCATTTGCTAATTTCCCATGTTGGCGGTTGGCTGGGATTAGCCAGGGCGCTTTTTCTCCATGTGTCTCTTATCCTCCTTGGACCAACAGGCCAGGCTGAGCTGTTCTAATAATGGTGGCAGAGGTAAAAGGGGACAAGTAGAAACACACGAGGTCCCTAGAAGTCTAGTTTTGAAATTGTTGTGCTCTGAAATTCCTTTGGCCCAAACAAGTCACACGGCCAAACTTAAGGTGAATTCTCCTTCCCTTCGGTGAAAAGAACTTTGAAATCTCATGAGAAAGTGTACACATGAAGGGAAAAATAAAGAATCGGGACCAATGAAACAATCTACAATACGTGTCCTCTGTATATACGGGCTTAGCACAGTGCTTGGCATATAATCTTGCAAAAAACCTAAGCTCCATTTACAGAAACTCCTTGCCGTCCTTGAACATATAATTCACTTCCCTTCTTGCATTTTTGTACGAGATAATCTCTCTGCTTGGAATGCTTCTTTCCCATTTCTCTCTCGACTGACTCCCTTTATAAAGAGTGAGTCAAGTTTCCTCTCTGCCCCTGTTGCTGTTACAACCTGTACTAGGATGTGAATCATGTTGTTGGGTATCTGCCGCTCTCCATGCTGCTCCATCCAGCTCTTTCTCAACCCTAGTTTCCTCCGAGACAGCTATGTCTTCCTTGTCATTGTATAATCCTGGCACGTAGTGGGTTCTCCATAAATCATTTGTTAGAGTCTTTGGTAGACCACTTATTATATATCCATTGTTATAAAGCGTAAGCTAAAAATTACAAATATAAATTAGTGCCCATCACGGTTTTAAAAGAAAGCATAGGGGTGCCTGGGTGGCGCAGTCGGTTGGCATCTGACTCTTGGTTTCGGCTCAGGTCATGATCTCAGGATCGTGCAATCAAGCGCTGTGTTGGGCTCCACACTCAGTGTGGAGTCTGCTTGGGATTCTCTCTTCCTCTGCCCACCCCCACTGCCGATCTCGCTTGCTCACTCTCTCTCAAAACAAATAAATCTTAAAAATAAAAATAAAGGAAAGCATAGGAAACAACATTTTTTACAGCATAGTTCTTGGTGTAGTGTCATGGTTGGGATATCATGCAATCACAGCTCTTGAAATGAAGTAAACTTACGACTGTTTTCAGGTTATATATTGTGATCAAACCTGCCAGAAAACACACTGGTTTGCACATAAGAAAATCTGTAAGGATCTAAAGGACGTTTATGAAAAACAACAATCGGAAGCTGCCAAAGAAAAGAGTGAAGAGGAAAACAGTATGTATATAAAAAGCGAGCTCATACTGCTTCTCATTGGGAATAGGATTGATATTATTAATGATATTAACACAGGCCCCAAGGAACTGAGTCTTCTCTGGGGACCGAGGAAACTTGGAGTTAACCAATATAAGAATCACATTTAAGTGTGTCCCTCTTTGGGGTTGTTGGGATAATGTATAGAATATGGTTAGCCTAGAAGTCGCTGGAAAACAGAGAGGCATAGAATTCTAAAGAATATGGTTTATTCCGTATTCTACCTCCTGACTCATGAGAATGCCCTGCAACGGTGGGACTCATAATGAGTGTTCACTTACACCCGACTAACGAGGGATGTTAAGGTCTTTGACTAAGGAAATAGTTAAATTTCCCCTAATGGCTACTCAAAGATCTTAAGGTAGGGAACCTTTAATTTTTTTAATTAAAGTCCAAAGCTGTAGGTGAAATTACAGAGTAAATTTATAAATTACAGATTAGTTTGCAGCTCTAATGTACAGATAAGGTTTCTCCAAGTATCTGGGCATTGAATTCCACATTACTTTTTCTCTCCCTCCCTCATGAGGTATATGACTCATTTTCATCAGAAACAGTGAGTTGCTTCAGCAGTGATTCACAGACTGTAGTGGAAACCACCTCCACGCCTGTGCCCCACCCCGGAGAACGTATCGTGCGTTCTGCGGAACGCATCTATTGTGGAAAAGTTGCCCAGTTGACTGATACAAAGCACTTCCACCCTACCCCTCAGCAGACTGAATTGCCTTCACCACCTGCTTGAGAAACACTAGGAGTAGGATTGAACGAGTTGTACAAAATTTAATTCATATAAATAAATTTATAAGAGAATCATCAGGCTTTCTGACTGCCATGCTTCTCCTGTTTTCCGGGCCAAACTTCTGTAGCCTGCATGTGGAGGACAGAGGCTGACCTCCGGTACTGTTACCAAGTGAGGGAAAGAGTAAGATGGTCAGGAGATTGGGAATTCCCGGTTGGTAAGCGTCAGCAGGTGCCGCACACTCTTCTAAATGTCACAGGCACCTTTATTCTCCACCGGTGTAGGTGAGGCTTTATTAACCGCACCCCTCCCTAACTTTACAGGTGAGGAAAGCACCCTGCGTGGGCAGTTACCTACCCAAAGGCCTCAAGCTCATTCACGGCAAAGCCGTCTTTGAAGGCAGCTCCCAGACGAGCATGTCCATCTCAAGGCCTGGCTGCGGAGCCAGAGGCCTGAGTCCAGACCCTGGTTCTGCTGCTCCGCTGGCCGTGAAGCTCTGAGGAAGTTGCCAAACCCTTCTCTTCTCCGTTTCCGCACTTGTAAAAATCATGATAATAATGATAATAGGGATCATTTTCCTCACGTGGCTCTTGTGAGGATTCGATAATTTCATACTCGGAAAGCATCCAGAAGAGAGACCGACAACGTGGTAGGAACAACAAAATGACCTTTTTTTTTTTTTCCTCCTTTTTTCTTTTTATCAGATGGCGGACTTGATGTCAGTTCTAACTGTGTTCGTGCAGAGCAGCTCGAGGCTGAAGCGGGGGTCTCCCAAGAGGATTGTCAGCCGAAGGAGTCTGTGGAGGCGGAGAAAGACTGTCCTCAGAGTGGAGGCGGGTTGGAAGGTTTACCGGATGCTCCTGCAGGTCCGCAGGAATCTGAGGAGTGAAAGGCAGAGTAGGTGCCGGTGTGGACGGTTCGTGCCCTGGCAGGTAGCCAGAGAGCTCACGTGACTGTGTCCTCATGCCTTGTGACCCCTGCATGGCACCGTGGCAGGATTCCATGTCTCCTAGAATAGAGGCCTTCAGGCAAAGCTCTGTCTACCATGCCCTGAGTTCCCAGTGATTTCTGTACGTAGTTGGACAGATAGTCCAAGGGAGAAATTTGTATTTCAAAGTATCGCAGAAACATTTTTATTCCCTTTCTGAGGCCAGCTTCCCAGCAGTTGTTCTCAAAGCAAAAGAGATCCCCTTCAAGAAGAAATATAGGCTCTGGGGAACAGAGGGGCAAGCAGAACAGGTGTAGGAGAGAGATTTTCAGGAAAGAAGAATTTTCTAGCCACTGAGATGGGTAGTTAAACGAATCGTAGCTTATATGTGAATAAGATGCATATAAATAGCATTTAGAATAGTGAAGTCCTACTTACTTAGATGCAGTGAAATGAAGCAAAGTTGTATGTTACAGGCTCTGTCACAGTTCGCTCATTGTAGTTTTTATATAGAAATGATCCTGAGCAGTCTGAACTTCATATAGTTCCTGCGGTGACATTTTATCTACAGTGTTTGTACCTTCATAACTGTCGGAACTAAGGCACAGCCACGATTATCTCAGCATGTGCATTAAAAAGGATGTTTCATGAAATCTCTCATTAAATAATGGCTAACCATAGTGTGTCCCCAGTTATAAAGCCAATTCATGTGCCATATTCCACCTGAAAGGCTTTTTTCTTCCTGTGAGCTTTTCGTGGGGCTCTTCTTGCCCAGCAACTGATTTATAACTGTCACTTTTAGAACGTGCTCACACCCGTTTTTAGCGTATGCAGTATGGAAGCAGAGCTAGGGCCTGATCGCTGAAGACAGCGCTTGTTTCAGAGTTTCTTGTGATGATTGTAAAATAAATCATGCCTACTGATATAACCACCTCCACATCTTGTTTCCTGGCTTATTGCTGTTGAGGGATGGCCAATATTAGAGAAATATTAGAGAACTTACATTTTAGGAAATTCAGCAAATACTAGAGAAGAAAGAAGTATTTTCATGTGTACAATTGCAAATCAAAATGACTACCCACCTCGCTTCGCTGATCATATTCTTCTGTTATGCTGGTTCTCCTCTTCCCTACGCTCAGTGACTTTTCCGCACCCTCTTCACGCCCTCTGGCGTGCTGTTACACGAAGACTTCCTGTGAGTGAATTCAGTGTGAAGGGTTAGCTGGGGAGGAATTCAGCAGGCGGATTGCACCTAAACTTGTCACTCACGACAAGCCTCTCTTCACCGGTCAAGGTACCGCATCTACACACTGAGAAACATTCCTCCTTGACGAGTAAAATCATCCTGCTAGGCTGCCCTCTCCCACCAGTGTTTTCATGTGCATTATCTGGTTTTTAATTGTTGTTGTTTTGTATTCACGTTACCGCCATTTTGTGTTATCATTATAATGCTTGTCTTCGGATACCATAGAGGGTTATGAAAAAGCAGGAGGAAATAGAAAAGCTGAGACGTGTGGCAGTGGAGAGGAACTTCTTCCCTTTGTTGAAGTGAATGCTGACAGGAATCAGAATCTAATACCGCTATAACTGCCAGGGGATGAAGAGGACTTCAGGTATAAGCCATGTCAACGTTACAATTTTCCACCCTTGTATTTCAGGGAAGAGGTGGTCTGAAAATGGAGTTTAAGAGACAATGGGGTTGGTTCTGATTATAATCCCTTCCTTCGTCATACAGAATCTCAAATAGGTGTTTCCATTATTATACCAACAAAATAGGTGGTCATCCCATTCATTCTGGTTTTAGCCATGTTGAATTATTTTCAATATGCTATCAAGAAACTTTTCTTGGGGTGCCTGGGTGGCTCCAGTCGGTTAACCATCTGCCTTAGGCTCAGGTCATGATCCCAGGGTCCTGGGATCGAGCCCCATGTCAGGCACCTTGCTCAATGGGGAGCCTGCTGCTTCCTCTCCCTTTGCCCCTCCCGCCTGCTTGCACTCCCTCTCTGTCTCTCTCTCTCAAATAAATAAAATCTTTAAAAAAAAAATCTGAACACTTCTGCTTCTGGGAAGCAGAATAGACATACTTTTCTCTATTCCTTCTGCTAAGTAAAACTAAAATCCCTGGACATTATATATCAAACAAACATAAGAAGATTCTCTGTAAGATGGAGAAAGAAGGCAGACTGGCTGGGGATCGCGGGATCCCGGCAATGACATTTCATTTGTTCTCTGAGGGTTGGTTTTTTTGTTGTTGTTTTTGTTTTTGTTTTGCCTCATGTATCCCAGTCACGATGCCAAAGAAACTGACAATATGGAAACACCAACATTACAGACCAAAATAAATCCCAACAAAGGTCTGTCAGCCTCCTGCCTGCCCTGCAGAGCCCTGCAGATTTCAGACTCAGGACTGCAACATCAACTCATTCTTAAATTTCTAGTCTGCCTTGTCCTGCCCTACAAATTTTGTATTTGCCAGCCCCCACTTCCTTAAAATAAGTCACTCTCTCAAGTCACTCTCTTTCTATGCATATGCCCTATTAGATCGGTTTCTCTGGAGAACCCTGACTAATACACCAGGTGTCTTACTTTGGGCCACTATGTAACAAATTACCATAGACTAGCATGGCTTAAATAATAAACATGTATTTCTCATAATTCTGGAGGCTAGATGAGATCATAGTCAAGTTTTTGGTGAAGACCCTCTTCCTGTCTACAGAGGGCCGTCTTCTTACTCTGTCCTCACATGGTGGAAAAAAGGTAGCCAGCTCTCTGGCCTCTTAAAAAGACACTAATCCCCTTTGTGAGGGTTCTACTCTCATGATCTAACTAGGTCCCAAAGGCCCCCCTCCAGATACCATCATGTTGAGGGTTAGATTAAAATATACCAATTTTTTGGGTGGGGACACAAACTTCCGTCTATGATATCAGGCATAGTTCCTAAAGGGCACAACTGCTCTAGGGATAAGAATCACAGTATTAGCTGACATCTATCAGGTGCTAACTTTGAGAAAGCTGCTCTGACACTTTACATCCATTATCTAACTTAAATCTTTGAAATTTTATGAATTATGATTACCATTTTAAATAAGAGGAAATGAAAGCTTAGAGAACTTAGCGAACTTGTCCAAGTAACAACTAGTAAGTGAAGAGCTAAGCTAGGTGTGATTCCAGAGCACCAGCTTTTAGCTGCTACCCTGTATAGATCTATAAAATAGTATTTTTGGTTTCTTGGTCATGAGAGCTCCTGATAGATCCTGAAATCGACTTTCACTTGAATCAGCTTGAATGGTTCTCTGTTGCTTAAAGAATTTAAAACACCCTCTCAGTTGTGTGTTGCATTTTGGTAGAGTTTAGGTTACTTAAGTAAGGATCCCTGTCTTCTATTTTGTGTTTCTCCCCAAATGGTATTTGTTACAGTATTTTCAAATCACAGCCATTCAGTAGCCCTTCATTACTGAATATAAAATACTGAGGAGTGCATTTTAAAGCAAATCTTTTTCTTCATACAAAGGAGACATATTTCCATTAATTCTTTAAAAAGGAGAGTAAGTAAAATTTGCTAGCTATATTTTTGTAATTGGAATACTTTTTCATCCTTTTCAGTGATTGTAGGATTAAAAATAGAATATCAGGCTACACATTCTTTTACAATTCTTTTAGTTAACCTGGGGATTATAATATCCAATTTACTGCAATCTAATTCAAAATTAATATTGCTTATGCAACTTACAGGCCAGCTTAAGTCTGATCCCAAATGCACCTTTTCCATCATGAAATAGGTTACTGCTCTGCCCACCCAACATTATTGCCTCATGGGGCTGATAGTACTCAGCTCATGGTGAGTAACTTCGGTCAAAGTTTCTTGATGTTTGTTGGTCAGGCTCTTAGTACTGGGGTGGATGAAGTAGCATGCCTGAAACTGCTCTTCGAACAATGACCAGTTCTCTGCTGAAGGTAGAATGGCCTTATTCAAGAACCTTTTGAGACTGCACCGTGACTTCTTAGACTTTGAAAGACTCCACAAAGCCTCCTTACCTACCACAAATACTTCTAGCACCATGGATTATACTGAGTTATCCTAACAGTTATCTATTGCTGTGTAAGAAATTACCCCAAAATGTATCAGCTTGAACCTTCAATAAGCATTATCTCATATAATTTCTGCAGGCCAGAAATAAAGGAACAGCTTAACTGGGTAATTCTGGCTTGGGGTTTGTCAGGAGGATGTGGAGCAGCTTTTGGCCAGAAGTTCAGTCATCTGAAGGTTTGGTGAGATCTGGAGGATCTGCTGGCAAGGACAGCCCCCTCAGATATTTATGGAAACAGGCCTTAGTCCCTCATTGGCTTTTTGGAAAGTAGCCTCAGTTCCTCCCCGCTGAGCCTCTCCAGAGGAGTGCCTAAATGTCCTCACAACATGGTAGCTGGCTTCTTGCAGAATAAGTGATCCAGAAGAGAGAACAAGAGATCATGCCGATCCTTTCTGTGACCAAATCTTGGAAGCCAAGCACTATCACTTTTGTCTCGAGCCACTCATCCACATCGATGCCCAAATCTCTGCCTGTTCTTAACCTCTGCCAGGGATCATACCTGAATTTTCAGACCCTGGCTTTGTATAGAATCGGAAGTGCCCACGGGTGAAAGGAGGTTAGAGATTCTCAGGGACAGTTCACTGTTCCCTCTAGGGCTTCCGTCCCTTGTCTGATTTCAGCCCCACTTGTCCAGTGTGTCTCTATCCTGTCTGTGTTACACTGTGGTGGTGGTCTGAGCAGAAGGAGATGTCACTCTGCTTTTTGTAAGCTTTTGATCTAGCTCTTTAGCTCAGCTGGGGAAAACCAGCAAGGCATTTTGTCTCTCAGCACCAGGCAACTGCTAAAAGCTTTTCTGGTTTCTCTTTCCCCTGAGCTTCTGGCTTCCGGTGAGGCCAAGCTCACATCATTAGCCCACACTCGCAACTGGCAAATGCCTTCAAAGGCGATGTGGAAAGACAAGAGGCTGGATAAATAAATTGTGGTATCGTCGTACAGTGGAATGCCATGCAGCCATGAGAATGATAGAGCTATCGCCTCTAGCAACAACATGGGTGAATTTTACAGTATTGAGTAAGAGAAGCCAGACACAAAATAATTCAACTTCTCTGAGTCCACTTATATGCCTTTCAAAGACAGACACAATTAATTTATGGTTTAGAATTCATAACAGTAATTCCTCTTCAAGGGTGGCTACTAATAGGGAATAGGACTGGTAACAGGAATGAAGAGGCCGTTCACATGCTGGTAATAGTCTCTCTCCCAATCCAAGACTGCTGTTACATGAGCATGGTCATTTTTGGAAAATTTGTTGAGCTGAACACTTAATGATTTGTGTACATTCCTGTATACATGTTTTACTTTAACAAAAACAAAATGTGTAGGGATTATATTATTGGTGTTTCTGCTTGCGTTTACGTGGTTCAAATAATATAAGAAATGTATAACATGCTTAATCACAGAGAAGTTTAATAAACAACAGAAATTCACTAGGATTTCTAGAAATACTAGAGTTTATCTTAGTGTAACTGTGAGCATTTGAGCAGGTTCTCTGCCTTTCTCGTCAAGGTATTTTTCCTCTCGTGTTGGAACTGTGTCCCAGTTCAGGGAGGTAATAGCCATAGCAGACCTCTTCATGGACCTTACCAACACAGCATCTTCTGGGTCATCGAACACAGTTCTGCAAAAATGGCAATTAACGTCAGAAAAAAAAATCCATTAAGCCACAGTGAAATTTTCATTCAAACAAACAAATGCCATATTTTTCTATGCTATTTTTAACCTCGTACCGCTAACAAATAACTTTGGGCCTCTACTGACAAATGACTTGTAGAATAAGGAATGCTAGTTTTACCATATATATTGTTTATTTTTTAAAATTCAGTTTTTGAACGTATTTGGGATCGGCTAT